ATTACATCTTATAAGCAACGTTTAAAAGACTTATACTTCTGTAGTTGCCACATATTGATCGGTCTCCCTTTTTGAAAATAGGTAGCACTACGGAGAGTTTCCATTCGGTTGATATTTTTCTTCTATTCCAGCATAGGTTGAAAAAGTGGAGAAGCCTTATTTTACATTCTTCAGTTGCACATTTAAGCATTTCTGCCTTTATGCCATCACTGCCACTAGCTTTTATATTTCTCATTTTCCTTAGTGCCTCTTCCAGTTCTTCCCTTTCTATCTGATCTACGCTGTCTTCAATGAGGTTTTCATTTTTGTCTTACTTCTTAATCTTAACCCTCGCATTCTTATTTGTCCATAAGTTCGTGTAGTAAGAAAACCATTCATCTGAGTTAATTATTTGTATATCTGCTATGTCCTTCTCTTGTCTGTTAAGGTGTCTCATAATTTTATATGCTGTTTTCTGCCGTCCATGTATGTCATTTTCGATATCAGCTATATATGTATCCCATGAATCCTGGTGGGTGTTTCTTGATAGGTACCTGACGTGGTTGGAAATTGTGGTGTATTCCTTCTTAGTTTGTGAGGATTTATTAGATAGATATCTCAGATATAGTTTCTTTTTCTCGTTAACAGCTTCTTTGATTTCTTCATTACACATTTAAGCCCTTTCTTCTTCGTTCTCTTTGAAGTAGAGCTTAGTGTTTCATATGCTGTTACTTCAATTATAGTTTTAAAATTCCTCCACTCTTCTTCCACATCATTACTAATTTCAATTGTTTTATTTTGTTGGTTCAGACGTTGTTGGTACACCAGTTTGACAGATTCTTTATTTAGTAGATATACTTTCCAGGTTTTTTGGGTAGGTCAGGTTTGGCTGTTTTTGATTTTAACCCATCTCTTCAATAATTTTAGCTTTCCAAGAAGTGCAAAGTGATCACTATCTATATCGTAGCTTCTATAAGTTCTTACATCTGTAAAGAGTTTGCTTATTTTATCGTTTGCCATTATGTAGTCAATAGCACTAATTTGACCATGTGCTGCCCATGTCATCTTGTGAATACGTTTATGCTTATAGAAAGTGTTCATTATTTTCATATTATGAAAACATGCAAAATCTCTTAGTTTACGTCCATTTTCATTCAGAGTATCTTCGTTATTGAGGCCAATTATCTTATCAATAGATGCATTTCCAATTCGGGCATTGAGATCTCCACATATGACAATATAATCATTTTTATTTATTTCATCGAGAGTTTTTTTGTAGGCAAGGTTCCTCTGGAGCCAAGGTTTTCCCCTCTTCTGGTGCGTATACACAGACGAAACATATATACCCTCTATCTACATTAGTCCGCAGTGTGATAATTCTGTCTGATATCCAACAGTAAGAGTGAGTTTAGTCATGGCTCAATGCGGAAATATTAAATGCTGTAATCTTCAGACCACATTTTTTAATATTCAGGCGCGATAGAGTAGATCGCATTGGTGGGGGAGTTTTTAGGGCTCAAGATTCCAAGACCAAAATTCCACTTTTTCATACTGTTTTCTAGGAAACGATCTCATAGAAGAAACATTGAACTAAATTAGCAGCAT